GTCCACCTCCCGCTCCCATCCTGGGCAGAGGCTCACCCTCCGGGGCCCGTGCTCTCCTGGGAGCCTTGGTCCAGCCCAGAGCCCCCAGTCACTTGGGCTCCCAGGGGCCTGACTGTCCCTGAACTAAACGCTGTCCCCTGTGTGGTCATCTTGGCCGGGCTTAGGGAGGCGCGGGGGCCAGGAGGGGCCCAGACTGGTCACTTTGGGGAGAGTCGGGGGAGAGCGAGAGCAAACAGCTGGGTGGAGGAGGGAGGAAGCCAGGCAGACCCCCAGGCCTGGCGGACGCTGGTGGGGACTGGGCTGTGGGCCTAGTGTCCCGGGTGGGTGCAACTCAGACAGCTGCTGCCAGGGGGCAGGCAGGGGGCCTTCCGGGGAGGGGCATCCCCGCAGATGGAGCAGAGGGGTCTCGGCCCCCTCTCACGGGGCACACGGCCCTCTGGTGGGCACGCCAGGGTACTAGGTTCAGAGTTCTACCTCCGAGAGGGAGACGGGCCCCTGGCCCTCCCTGCCGCCCCGGGGGCTCCTGCAGTTGTCCGGCCTGTCTTCCTGTGGGCGGGGCCTCTGCCCTACCTCTCCACATCCCCAGTTCTGTTCCAGGCTGGCACGCAGCAGGTGCTCCGTGAGCACTGGCTGAGTGTGCGCGTGCATGTGGCCCACTGTGCACGGAGCCCAACTCCTCTTCCATAAGGGGGTTCCTTTCCCCAGGGCCTCTGGGGGCTTTCAGGGCGTCTGGAACCAGGGACCTGTCTCCCGCTCACTAGGGCCTCGGCCCCCAGGCCCCTGGTGCTGGGTCTGCCGTGCTCTTGGCTTTGGCGCTGCACCAGGGCCCGCCGGCCCTGAGCGGGCTTCTCTGCGCTCCGAGGTCAGGCCCCCAGCAATACCAAGCGGGCTCCTCTCTTGCAGACTGCGGTGGCTGCGGGTCCGAGATCAGGAGCGGCCAGTCCCTGCTGGCGCTGGGCAAGCACTGGCATCTGGGCTGCTTCACCTGCAAGGCCTGCGGGGAGCTTCTGAGCGCGGAGTACATCAGCAAGTAAGTGGAGGCCCGCCTCGATGTTGGGGGCCTGCTGTGCTGAGGTGGGGGACACGGGGTGCATCAGCAGGAAGTGGGGCTCCTTGGCACAGCCTTGAGGTGGTGTGCATTTCAGTTCCTGGCGATCCGGGGACTGGGCCCAAAGCCCCCACAGAGCATCGACATAGGGAGAGTTCATGGGTGACCCGAAAAGCTGCTGTCTGCACGGAGCCTGTTTCTCCCAGGCTGACACAACCAGGGCGGGCCAGTGCCTGGTGCCCTGAGGAGCTGAGCCATTGGTCGGCAGTCAGTTAAAAAACTGCTGTGATGGAGCAGCATGGAGCTAAACAGGCACACGCAGATGTGCATGCACATGCAGTGTGCCCTCATTGCACACAGACACGCACATATACCACATTTACTGATGTGTGCGCACACACTCGTATGCACGCATACATACATGTCCACACACAGGCACACACACTCACCACACAGCATGCATACTCGTGCACATGCACACACAAAATGTACATGCACACAACATGCATATGCACATACACATGCATGCACACACACAATGAACAGATACACAGGCACTGACACTCATGTGTGTGCACACAGTCACATGCATACATGTCCAAACATGTTCATGCATGGACACATGCACACAGGCACAATGCACAATGTACACACAGGCGCAGGTGAACATCCAAGCACACAGGCACATAGCACACACTGCTCGCATGCACAGAGGCACACAGACTCACATCCATACACACATGCACACACACATGCACACATGTATGTGCCTACTTATGCATGCGCATGCGCATACTCTCACATGTGCACACATGCACACACATCATGTGTATAACACTGGGGAAATCTGGGTAACTATTCTAGCAGCAGTCAGGAAATCAGACGCCGTGTTGCACTGGGCAGATCTGCTGCAAGACACCTCTGTGAAGTAACACAAGAGCAAAGACATTACTTTGAGGACTACGGTGTGCTGACCCAAGCCATGGTATTTTCAGTCACCTTATATGCCTGTGAGAGCTGGACAATGAATAAGGAAGACCGGAGAAGGGTTGATGCTTTTGAGTTGTGGTGCTGGCGGAGAATGCTGACAGTGCCATGGACTGCTCAAAGAACTAACGGGTCTGTCCTGGAGGAAGTGCAGCCAGAATGCTCCTTGGAAACGAGAATGGCCAGACTTCGTCTCAGCTCCTTTGGTCATGTTGTCAGAGGGGACCATTCCCTGGAGAAGGGTGTCATGCTTGGTGGGGTGGAGGGTCAGTGAAGAAGGGGAGGCCCTCAGAGACTGGTGACATGGTGGCTGTGACAGTGGGCTCAGACACAGGAGGGACTGTGCGGACGGTGCAGGACGGGGCAGTATGTTGTTCTGTCGTTGGAACCGACTCGACGGCACCTAACAACAACACAACATTCTCACTTGTGAGACGGCCCCACTGGGAACCTGGGTGAGTGGTGGCCCCCCCACTTCTCACCACTGCACATGCGTTTACAGTGACCTCAGAATCAAGCGTTTTAACCACAGTCCTCAACCCAGGACGAGTTTAAGGCCAGGCCGGCTCAGACCGCAGGGACGAGAGAGTCCTGGCGGCTCAGCTGGCCACTGTTGCCACACTGAGGGGTCGGGGAGTGAGTCGGGGGATGAACCCCGGGGACACAGCGTTTCGGAGAAAGGGCCCAGCCCCTGATGCAAAGCCCAGGGCACGTGAGCTCGTACACCACGCTCGCCCAAGGGTCACCGGCAGCCACCTGGCCCATCAGTGTTGCCATGGACACACGCCCTTTGCACCTCCTGGGGTGGCTGCAGGGACCCCATATGTGGGGTGTCACGGGCCCCAAGGTCAGGGGTTTGAAAGTGAACGCTTGGATTGAGCACTGCCCTGTGCTCCCTGAGAGAGGCCCGTCTGAGAACGGGGTGGGGGTCTCGGCCTCAGCAGGGGGCCCGGCCACCCACACACGCCAGCATCCCTGCCCTCAGGGCCTCGCTTGGGCGGCTGCTGACCGAGCGGAGGGCAGAGCTTCCAGGCAAGGAGGGCTCTCGACAAATCTCACCTTGGGCAGCTGTGCGGGAAGTGACCCGAATCTGGACCCTGAGTGTCTGGGGCTGGGGTGGTGTGTGCCCCTCCCACCCGGCCCTGCTGACCTGGGGCCGAGGTGGCTGCCGGGCTCCACAACGCGGGGGCCTCGGCCACCCTGTGGCCAGTGCGGCCCTCTCCTTCCTCACTAATGCCCAGGCCCAGAACCACCCCAGCACCAGGCAGGCCCGCAGGGACACACAGTTATCTGTAAGTGGACGGCCAGGCTTTCTTCCTCGTCTGCCTTAGTCTGGGTGGCCCCCCTGAAAGCTGTCCGCATCCAGCAGCCCCGTGCATCCACTGACGGGCAGGCGGTGGGCGCACACGTGTGCACGGCTCCTCCCTGTGGGGCTCCTGGGGGCAGAGTGGCCGTCACCCCAAGTGTCCCTCTCCTGGGCAGTGCTCTCCAGAGGAGCAAAATCAGTGAAACTTAGAGAGAAATTATCTCGGAAATGGCTCCCAGGACAGCTGCGGAGGCTGCAAGTCCAGGCTCGTGGCTCGAACCACAAGCTGGAGTTTGACTCACGCAGCTACAGAGGCTACAAGCCACGACCGACAGGCAGGACCGCAGGCGGCTGGCTCCAGAGAATGACGAGACCAAGATCAGCAGGTGAAACGGCAGATCGTTGGCTCACAGGCCACAGAGGCAACAGTCCAACAATAGCAGGCGACACGCGGGCTGGGTTCCAGTCCAGATAACAGTGAGCGGATGCCGGAAACCCAGCAAACCGCCTTTGGCAGACCTTTTCCGTCTACATTGGAAGCAGGCCACGCCCCTGAGGAAAGGCCCTGCCACCTGATTGGCTGCTCACAGCAGCTCTCATCATGGAGGTGATTATATTGTAGCCAGTCACATCGTCGGGGATGACTGCCTCCTAACTGCCAAGTCACTGAGAATCCTGGCCCAGCCCAGCTGACCCACAACCTGAACCATCACAGTCCCTCAGAACAGGAAGCCAGGCCATGCCCAGAGGACAGGGAGGCCCCCTCTGCCCACACCTTCTGGGCCCCTAGAGTTCTAAAACCCTGGGTCCCTTCCAGCAGACATGGACAGCCATCTGGTGGACGACAGACCTTCCCCCCCAAATATGGGGTGCTGGGCTGCAGGGGCCAGAAGGCAGAGCCTGTCGGGGGAACGGCTTTGAGTCCCGGCCCCTCATTCACCTGCGGGGTGTGTGTGGGCCTCACTTTCCTCCTGTGAGATGGGGGTGACCTGGGTGACAGTGAGCGTGGCCATGGGGGCACCCGTGAGCACTGCCTGCCAGAGGCGTGGGGGCTGTGGGGGTGCAGGGGTACAACTCTTGCCTTCGGTTCGGGAGAGCCCGGTTTGATTCCCGGCCAGTACAGCTTGGGCACAGCCATCCCCATCTGTCCGTGGAGGCCTGTGTGGGGCTGGGATGCGGGGCTTCCAGGCTGAGACAAGGCAGAAAGGGCTGGAGACCTCCTTCTGAGCATCAGCCACTGGGAACCCGTGAACCACAGAGGTCCGGCCACAGCCGGTCGTGCGGATGACGCAGGGCCGGACAACGTCATTCCATTGTGTGTGGGGTCGACGTGGGTTGGCCCGACTTGATGACAGGTAACAGCAACAGTGGAGGCGTTGTTACTTGGGGCAGGAAGCTGGGGTCGGTGGTGGCACCCCTCCTGCTCCCCAGCGCCCCTCTTGTCGTGGGGCCCATCCTCACCCCCGACGTCTCTCCTGTTGCAGGGACGGGCTGCCTTACTGCGAGGCTGACTACCACGCCAAGTTCGGCATCCGGTGTGACGGCTGTGAGAAGTTTATCACCGGCCGGGTGCTGGAGGTGAGTGTGCCACTGGCGTCGCCGGCCGCGGTGGGTCCGGCAGGGCCCGTACAGGCCCGGGCCTCTCTGAGCCTCAACTGGGCACAGCCGTTATCCGTGGGCAGTGGGTTGAACGGCCCCTCAAGGTGTCCTGCATCCGTGTCTGTGCAAGAATCTGCACCCCAAGCCACCCGGCCTTCCGTGGCCTTCCAGGGCTGCTCAGTGCTGCCGCCTCCAGGGAGTCTTCCTTGTTTCACTTTGTACATCAACAGGATGAGGAGGTGGGAAGGACTCTGATTTTGGGGTCTAGTCCTTATCTTTCGAGATTGGGCCTCCAGGGTCTGTAGGTTTGAACGGGCCCCAGGAGGGGTGGCGTGACCATGGCCACGTGGTAGGACTGTGTCCCCAGTGTGCAGAGAGGCACTGAGAGGTGGGGA